GACAACTTGGCTTAAGCACCCTGAGCTATTAAAACTTTTAGGGTTGTACAAAGGTTCTGACTAGAAAATTCAGTGGTCAGGTTTTCATCTGGGCAACGGTGTTGGCACAAAACCTTGAACTATACAAGCAAGCATAAAGTGGCTGCCTAGAAACTCTCTCACTGTTTCTTTACTGATACATGTGCACAGTAATCAGTCTAAACTACACATCTACAAAAGCAAACAGGTGTCCATGTTTTTAAATATCATTCTCAACTTGAATCCCCAAAGATTTAGTGGGTGCCATACACTACCTTGGGTAAAATTCTACAGATTAAAACCATTTTGACCTACATCACATCAATACTTTGATCTCTAGATCAGCACAAAAAACCCACTTAGAAACTTTTTGAATAATGGCTTTTTGTTTCAGAGCTTTTATCTCTTCAACCCCTCGCTCATATGACCCCAAATTTGGGTCAATGACCCTGCCCTGCAAACCAAATTAAAAAGGAATCTAAGCATGTTGATTTTAGAGGACTTAGAAAGGTTGATCTTTAAACAAAAGTTGCGATGCAACCTTAACTATAGTGGTGTCGCCTCACCACCACTGAGCTAGGTAGTTTATAATATAGTTTCTTAACACAGTTTATGATTATTTAAGGTGTAATAACAAATTGTGTTACAAATATGACCTTGAAAATGGTTTCAAGCCTTAACGGAAAAACTGAGTAAACAGCCACATTTGACTTTGGGTGTTAAATATGACAGTCCTCCAACCATCTCTCCTCAGATTTGAATAGAAAACAAATGTCCCACTTATAAAAAAGGGTCTATCATATTTACCATGAGAATAAGAAGGTCAAAGCCTCTCTTACACAGACTGTAGGACCTTAGCAGCAGGACAACTATTTTCAGCACTTGGTTACATAGGAGCAAGGAGGCTAAACTGTCTGACAGCCAAAGTCAAAACATCCACTGTTTTCTCAGAGTAAGACTCAGCCTTGATGACCAGTAAATAGAAGATCACAAAATTCTATGCACTTAAAAAAAATAACATTCTAAAATATAATCTAAAGAGAATACCTTAAATTACAGATTCAAGGTATACATAATGACCGAGATATTTTAATATCTGGTGCAAGGATAATGATACTCATCTGCATCAGCATGATGGAGAGATACGTATGTAACTGATTAAAGGATCTAGGCAGAAGTTGAAACTAAATTAAGCAGCAATGCGGCATTATTCTTGTTATATTTGTCTGTCTTGTGCTGTTCTTCTGGTTAGTCCAAGACAACATATGTGTACATTCAGACTGTTCTGAGCCAATGATTAGTGCAATTTGTCTCAGTTTGAATGACTGAGAAGAACAGGACTCCTGGAGATTTTACTTTACAGGCCTAACAACATCCGCGCAGAAAATATTTCCCGTACCCTTACAGATTTTCACTGGGGCGGTGGAGGGGGGTGGCTCCAGCTTTCTGACAAGTCAGAACTGTATTCTGGAACAGGAAAAAAAAAACTGTCCATTATAGAATTGCTGGAAGACAATTTTGTTTTCAGTATAAATTATTTGCTGTACTTCTTGAATTAGATTCCTCTCCTTGATCAATCATCATTATTCAAACGAAAAACATAAAAAAAAAAAAACCTGAAGACGCAGCCATTTCTAAAAGCTTAGCACAATATTTGTCATTAAACATTTCCTCCAGAAAAGCAATGAGTTCAACAGCCTCAGGAAATAAGTCTTCTATAAGAATCAAATACAAGTGTAGTTCTTATGTAGTAAAGCCTTTATTATTTAAGGGATTCACTGTTTTCTGGCTTTAAAAAAATGGTTCTAGTCAAATGTTTTAAAACATATTTTCTGGACCAAATATATACAAATAAAAGTCACTGGCAGCAGAAGAGAAAAAATTATCGGCTATTTCCAGAATAATTAAATTCAAGCCTCCCAAAGACTGCTTTAATCATTTCATTGCCTTTATTAATTGATAAGAGTAAATAAATATGGTGCTCATGAAACAGACCAATATGACAGTCTAGGCAGATATCATACTGTTGTCTCAATGCACACGAATCCCTAACTAGCAACAATCCTATTGTTCCAGTACTGCCACTCTAAAATGTTGAAATCACAACAACTTCTAGGACAGGGATCGGCAACCTTTGGCACGCGGCCCATCGGGGAAAGCCGCTGGCAGGCTGGGATGGTTTGTTTATCTGCAGCGTCCACAGGTTCGGCCAATCGCAGCTCCCACTGGCTGCGGTTTGCCACTCCAGGCCAATGGGGGCTGCGGGAAGCGGCAGCCAGCACATCCCTTGGCCCACACCGCTTCCATAGTCTGTCTGGAAAAGTCTGAGATCCGCTGCACTTATGATTATGTGCCTCTTCAATACAAAGAACTACATCCTATCTACACAAAACCCAAAGCAGCGTGGCAACACTGTGCTTAGGCCTGTTTCAGAGAAGCCTCCCACAAAGCCACAGAATCTTTTTTTTCTTAATGACTTTTTCCAACCTTCCACCCCCAGTATTCCACATAATTCCGAAGACTACTCTTTAACAGGCTTGTCATCCTCATGCTCGTGATCATCTCCTCAAACAGTCATATTAGACATGCTCAGTCCTCTTAACAGTTCCTTACAAGTTTTTATCTTTTCTCAACTCCCTCCGATTGTTAATATCTTTTCTGTAGTATTGTGTTCAAAAGCTGTGCTCCCATGTAAACCATTTTCTCTCTAACTTTACATAGGATATGTCTAAATATACAATCTTATAATGTCGGATGGCTAATAAAGGAGCAAGCAGGCTGGAGAATGAAAGTCCTGCCAGCAAGCTGGTGAGAAGCTGCCGAGAGACAACACTCGAGAAAAGGGATGACTGGATGTATGGCAGTAGTCCCAAAACTGTGGGATACGTCTCCCTAGGAGGGCGTGGAAGAACATTTGGAAGGACATGCAGCGGGGCCCAGGCCAGCCTGCACAGGGGGTGGGAGGGAGTGCCACCCAGCCCCGCTCTGCTTCCAGCCCAGCTCCAGCTTCACTCCACCTCCAGCCCAGCTCTGCCCTCATTCCCTCTCCAACCCCAAGCCAGCTCTACCTCTAAACCCATCCCCTGCCACATCCCCAGTTCAGGCCCCAGTTCTGCCTTCAGCCCAAGCTCCTCTGCAGTAATGGAGGGGGGGCATGGACAGATTCCATTACTGGTAAGGGGGGGGGCATGACAGGAAAAGTTTGGGTACCACTGATGTACAGGCTGGAGAAGACTACAGAACCAAGGGAGATAGAAAAGCGCTCAGGGCACAGCAGGAGTTGTTGTTGAGGCCTTATTTGGTCTGTCTTGTTTAAGGGCCCAGAGCTGGAACCCAGTGGAGTGGGTGGGCCTGGGTTCCTCTACCGATCCTACAACAGAGACTTAAGAACAAAAGGGGTTTCGAGACCCCCTGAGGAACCAGGATCAGCTGATCCTACCAAGTACAAGGGAAACCCATACACCTCAGCAGGACTGAAACTAACACCCTGCATAGCCCAGAATAGGACTATAGAAACTCAGTTAAGAGGAGCTGACTGACTGCCTTCCCAGAACAAGTTAATTCTGACCAAAGGGGGGCGCTATTGCATTAGCACAGCAGCTCATGGTTACTCACAGTCATAGTACTCATAAGTACTTACCAAAGCAATCTTACCTCTGCCCTCACAAATCAGAAGAGCATTACTAGGGCTGAGCTGCGCAATAACAATGCTCAGAAATATTGATCTCTAGTTTTATAGTTCAAAGTAGCCAAAGCTGAATAACCTCCCTGAAGTACCATCACTTAGTTAAATGATAATTACTTGCATTAATATAGATTTTGGGGGTTTTAGCTAGAAGGATTGCAAAGCACTTTACAAACTCATCAGAAACTTAATATTAATCTTAGTACCTCTGTGTGGAAATACAGTAACTTTTTAACATCAAACTCTACAGAATATTATGGGGCAGGAAAGGATACCGTAGTCAACTTAATTTAATAGAGAAATTCAGGCACACAAAACGCAATCACCCAACTTGAAATCTTAATGCAACATGCAAATCACCACCCTTACTCTTGAATAATGTATAACAACATTTAATGACTACAAGATGGCAGGACACCTGTTGTCCATTTTATTTGAAAAAATAATCTTAACAGCACAGTACTCCCAAATACCATGCTGGGATTTAGATCAGTACTGACTCAGAAGGAAGAGAGTCACCTATTGAATTAGCAGCATGTCTGATTTCCTCGGAGATCTCCAAACAAGTTCTGACCAAGCTTGATCCTGCTTACTTTATGAGGTCTATTGAGGTTTATAACAGAAGCTATAATATGGAACTCCTGAAATGTAGACATACAGAGAAATTTCCTGGACCCCTGGAACTAAGCCATACTTTGGCTAAAGGTGAGGTACAATATTTCCCTCCTCTGTAATTTGTTTTCAGTCCAAAAATGGTTTACGTGAACAAGTTTGCAAAGAAGCCCGGCTTTATAATGTTTGTGATAGAAAAAACGGTAGATCATTAAGAAAAATGATAATCACAAGCATGAAAAAATGTACCTGGGTTGTTGTTAAACGAAAAACTGGACCACTTGTGGGCACTGAAAGCCTGGGTGAGATGCTGGCAGGACCTTGCCCCTGTGTTTGTACTTGAGCTTGCACTTGAGCCTGGGCTAAAACCTGCTGAGGTACCATTACAAGCTGTCCAGCTTCTGTGCGCACCAAGACCATACCTAATGAAAATGATCAAAATAATAGTAAGTACTATGAATAGAATTGACATGCAGTAGCTTAACATTTTCCCTTCTTCATTCACCGTACACCATTCCTGACATGTTTATTACAGTATAAAATCAGATATTTCATAAGGGAAAATCAGCAGAAAAACAATTAAAAATACAGCTTTAACAATTTTGGTTACATTTGAACAGTACAAATGTAACAATTGGTTACCTGAGTATATAAGAAGGTGACAAAATTTAGAGGTATAATTAGAGACAGTAACAGAGCATCGGGGGGGAGAGTTGCATTTAATTCTTAAATCCTGATCCATCAATGGGATCTACTGGCAGAGACACTTGTGCCAATACAGAGTCCCACAGATGTCTCATTTGTCTTAGCCCTGCACTGTGGCTAGCTCCAGTCCTGGGAATCTAAACTAGACTCCAACTCTTCTGTCCCTCCCACATCACATCACTTGCCTTTGTCCACTGCTGAACCTCCTCGGCCCTGTCCGGTTTTATTTTTTATAAACTAAGGCCCCCAATCTTGCAAAGACTTACATTCATCTTAAATGTACGTCCCACAAGTAGTCCCACTGAAGACAAAGTCTCACTGAATGCACGAAGTTAAGCGTGTGCGTAAGTGTTTGCAAGTGCAGAGCCTATATCCTAGGCCAAAATCTAATGCACAGGCTGCATTTTCAGTTTATTAGTCTGTTAATTTTAACACTGTCAACCATAATTGTTCCTATATTGCAATAAATAAATAAAACAGGATGATAAAAACCAAAAATGCACTTATTTTGCAAACCAGATGAGCTCATTTTAATTTTGAAAATAACCCTTTTTGCTATGTGTTTGTAAACAATTAAAATTTAATGTTCTAGTTCAATTAACAACTTATTAATAATATAATATGCAATTGCAAGCAGTTTGAAACATTTAATTTTCATGAGTTAAAAATTAAACTATATAACTCATAAGAACAAATCAGAGCCAAAACTGCTTTATGTATACTCAATGTATTTGAGTAAAATTAAAAGCATAGTTAGGGATTACACTTTTTTAAGGAATGTGGCATGGGTGCATCACATGATTTAATAGCCATATATTTATCTGATTACACACATAAACTCTGAGCTCAAGTATAATCCTTGTAAGTACTGTAGTTTCTCTTTATGTGAATTAACCTTATGGGGAGACACCTAGAAAACACTTGCTAATCTTCCCTACATACGATGGAATTAACTGAGAAGCAGATCTGAAGTAGCTGGGCTGTGACTGGTCCCTACACTTCATACCACTATGCAGGGAAGTTCAAAGAGGAAGATACAGACTAAACTACAAAAGCAGGTGAAGAACTAGAATTGAGTGTTTTCTTCTGGTATTTACTACTAAAATATAACAAAATCATCCATTTAAAGGGACACTGTCAACTTAATCAGACTTCCACTTAACTTATTTTGCCTAGTATTGTTAGAACACCACATATACTTACTATAATGAAAAAAGCAAACTGAAAAGATTATTTTTAATTATTTTGCATATTTGACAAAACTATTTCTACAATTAATTTCACTATATTTGATTTTCCCTATTTGTTGTGAGGTCTTTCCCACAGCACCATTGTATAAAATGCACAACTAATTCGAACACACCATTACCGTATTTAACTGAACAGTTGTGGTAACTGTACATGCAAATGACCAGTTAAGAAATGTAATTAGACATTTGTTCATTCAGCCACCACAACAGTATGCACAGATCCATGCAAATTTTTCTGAACGTTTACACCTAACAGCCTGATCATACAATATACTTCACAGAGTTTAATTACAGGACATGGACCTATGGGCACTTCCCAAAAATCACAATCTATTTGTTCCATAGGAATTTTTGTTTTGCTGTTGTAAGACTTATTTTTCAATAGGATATATTTGAATGGGACAGTCAAAGTAATTGTGATGCATGAATAAGTTTGTTATTCAAGTTGTAGAAATATTTACTGCTATGAGGGTATAAATGTTCATATATGACAATATGCTTTTTAAAATGAATGCAATTAATTCAGGTTCAGGACACTGATCTATGCTTAAAAAACATATGCACATCCGAAGTATCTAATATTATGGGCTATTATTCAGCTTTACTGCCAGCTAGGTAAACAGGAACCTGACTTTAAGAGCTTGTCATATAATTTAAGAAGACCTACTCAAAAAAGAATATTTTTTTAAAGTTTCAGCTTTCAACACAAGTTTCCTCTATGAAAACTGCACTATTTTAAAACCAGTAAAGAGCTGTCCATTACTTTTGCAGTCGAACTATAGATATTTTCATTTTCTCTCCATCTTATCCCCTGAGAACACTTGCCTATAACTTTTATATTCAAATTTAAGTAACTTGAACTGATTTACTGGCAAGTAGTTCTATAGAGCAAAAACACTTATAAGTTTGCATGCTACTAACTTCTTAGAACAATATTTTCTAAAATCTATAAAATGTTTGTTTTCAAGAGTATCATTTTCCTCTTCTGTTTAACAACCAAACAGTAGAACAAAGCAATGATAGCATTCATCTTCTGAAATTGATGGTAAGGTATGACATACATGCCTTAGTATAGGAAACAATAGCAAAGTGTATTAATATACTATCTACATAATTACACTTTCACTTTCTAAAAGCAGCTTGATATCTGTTCCAAATTAAATGAGATCTTCATAAAGTCATAAGAATTTGCCTGATCTATGCAGTAGCATTCTACAAAAATATGTCAGGAGTTTCATAACCTGTGGTCAACTTCACAACTATTTAAAACACTGCAGTAAAGACAAATCTTTATTCACACTCAGCAAGCATACCAGTCTATAAACTTCATTTACTTAACTGATGTCAAACACTTTAAGGAATTCTGAGACAAGAAAAACAATTTCAGATCATACAATGTATTAATGGATGAAAAATCTTTATTTGCATAAGAAAAACAATTAAACTTCATTTGAATAAATCACCAAATTTCAGAGGCGAGGACTTGTGCTCTATTTGCACCACTAGTACTCAAGCATGACAAAACAACATTGGACACCCTTCGAAATTTTAAACTGACAATAAAATAGCCATTTAAATCAGGAATTGTTGGCATGAGGATATATGGCTAATGTTTTGGTTATGGTCAACCTTACTGAACTAGTATTTTTAGAAAACAAAGCCAGATACTACTAACAGTTTATTTTTGAGTATCAACAAGACTAAATAAATTAAGAAATCATCATTAAGAGCAGAGGGAGTGGGATGAAATTGTTACTTTGGAATTAGAGGTGACTCTTACTTATGTGGGGAGAGGCCCAGATACATATATTGTGCTGTGCACCATAGTATTGAGATTGAAAGCATTACATTAGATTATTCAATTAGCCACATCAGGACAGACAGTGCTTGAACGTGGAGAACTTTTCCCAGCGTCAGCAATAGTAAAGAAAATTTAACAAAATTTATATCTACAGCTAGATAGGACACCTATCTATAAATCAGCAACTTCTAAAATAAAGTTAAGTGTTTTGTTTTATTTTACTGCAGTTTTTAAATAACTTACCATGATTAACATTTTCCTTTAACAAAGCAAATAATTCTCCCCAACCACCATCACAACATTTTTTTAAATTAGCCACCACAAATTTTAAATTGATTAAATAATATTTTTAGTAATGTCAATGTGTTTATTAGAACAGAATTCATTTTAAAAACATGTGATTACTGGTGTACCACACATTTATTTGATAGTTCTGTACTTGAATTGTAGCACAGCCACAACTTTGAAAAATCACAATGAGGAAAACGGGTTAGCAGAGATTAACAAGCCTGTAATTTCCACTTACCAGGTGGTATAGTAAAACCTGGAGGCAACTGGATTGTAGTCTGCTGAGGCGGTCTAACAATCAATTGTGGTGCAACTATTCTCTGAGCAGTGCCCACTGCAGGCCTGGGTGACAGCGACTGGGGGACTGCAGAGACGACAGGTACAGCAGTGGCTGATTTGGCTACACCAACAGCAGAGCCAGGTGGCCCTATAATATTAACTGTGGGTTTAGATATAGCAGTGAGGGTGATCGGGCTGGACACTACAGGGGCACAGTTGGCTACTGAACTTTGGGCTGGATGGGTGACAAGGTTCATTGTAGGAACAGAACTAGTAGAGTTACTGAGTGCATTTACTGCAGGATTGTGTGTGAGGAGTTTAGTCTGTGCTGTGGAGGAGTCTGGTTTGCTGTGGCTGACAGCCGGATTCTGATGGTTGACAACTTGTGTTATTGCTGCTGGGGCACAACCAGCCTTTAGACTCTGAGTGACAACCACAGGAGCGCTGGAGGAAGTGCCATTCCCACTGTGTGCCGCGGGAGGAACAGAATGCAGTGCAGGTCTCTGGAGAAGAGAGAGAGCAGGAGGAGGAGCAGCAGCTGTACTACTCAGCATTACCGCCTTTGCAAGTTCCCGACTTGCTGCGGCTGCTGCTACTGGAGTGACAGCCCCGGCAGCCTCAGGCGACCCTCCAGCAGTGGCGGCCTCGGAGTTAAGCAGCAACACACTGTTCACCGCACCAGCGGCTGCTGCAGGAGGACTACACCCATGTCTGGGACTCTCCACTTCCCGGGCACCACTGCCAACAGCGGGAGCAGCGGCATTGGCATCCACGTGGTTGCTGACAGGCTGGGCTGGGGCGCCGACAGGCGGAGGTGGGGCAGCGGATTGCAGTGGGACAGGGGCAGCAGGTGCACTCGGGTTGCTGCTGCAAGGAGCTGCTCCATGTGATTGCTGCATGCTACTACTGTTTACACTCGCTCCCCTCCCGGCCGCCGCCGCTGCTGAGGGGGACAAGGCTGGGGGTGCCCCCTGGGCTGGGGGTGGGCTGCCCACGGCACTTGGACACCTGGCGGTCTCCCCTGCCCCGGGGAAATGAGGAGGAGCAGGATGCCCTTGCTGCTGTTGCTGGACTGGGCTGCCGCCCTCCACCAGGCTCCCCTGGTGCTCTTGCTGCTGGTGGGATGGGGGGCTGCTGTTAGGGGGGGGGCCCTCGGCGGAGCCCCTCCCGCCGGCCAGCTGTGATTCCAGGGAGCCCACCAGGTCGCTGACCGCCTTCTCATCCACCTCTTCGGAGAAAAGCAGCATCTCTTCCAGGGGGTCCGAGGCGCCCGCCGCCATCTTGCGCCGAGCTGGGAGCCGGCCGCTCAGCTCGCAGGCGCGCCCGGCTTCCGCCGCGCGCGCGGCATTCTGGGAGGGGTCGGCCTCCTCCTCTCGCTTAGAGGGGCCGAGCCTGGCTGAGGGAGAGAGGGAGGGCAGAGGAGGGCGAGTCGCTTTGTGCTGCAGCCTGGGGTTCCTCTCGCTCTCACTTGCTGCCTGCCTCTTCTGCTCTCCTGTGTGGGTCACTGGGGGTTTACCTGTAGGTAGCTTCTGGTCACTGTGGTTGCACTCTCCATCTGCCAATTCCTGTGGCCCTCTATGGTGTCACCCCAACAGCTGGGGGCTTGCACCTGCCGCCAAGATGAGCAGCGCATCTCACCAGCTAGGCCACCTCATTCATGGCCCTGCCCAAAGCACCTGGTCTACACTACAAAGTTAGGTCCATGTAAGGCAGCATATGTCTATCTAATTACAGCCTTGCTGCAGCCGATGTAAGTGCCCTATTGCTCTGACATAACTCCACCTCCGTGAGAGGCATGGGGCTCATGTCTGTGTAGGTCGACGCAGTTTCTGTGTAGACACTGCTTTACTTACATTGGCTGTTTGCTGTCATTCTTGTCAGTTTCACAGCTCCACTGGAGCTCTGAAATGGTCAAGAAAGGTGGGTAGGTTCCCTACTGTGAACCCCAAGCTCTGCTCAGAGCTGGGGCTGTCACCCCTGGAGAGGTGGAGGGCGCCAGCTGTGCATCCAGCTATTGCTTGGGCTCTCGACTCCTCACAATGCTCCAGACTCATGACTCCCCACTGGGAGCCCAGCTGCCCCCTGGGGCTCCCCAAGATGGGGGGCAGCAAGGAGCCAGGGGCAGCCAGGCTCCTGGCAGTGAGCTCCGTGTGGTGCTGAGAGCCCCAATGGTGGCCAGGCTCCCAGCTGGAGCCCCCAACTCACCCAGGGTGAAAGCCCCAGCTGTGAGCCAGGTTTAGAGTTCACAGCACTGTCCCTCAAGTTGGTAGAAGCACTTCTGGTGAGGACATGCACCACCAACAGAAGGAAGGCAGAGCTCTAGCACTTAAGTCTCTCTCTTCTTTGGCTCTGCTGTGCCACGACAGAGGAAGATTTTATGTCATGTTCTCAGTCAGAATCCTTTATGTGCTGGAAAACTAAGCACTAGTTGCATCAGGATGTCTTCCAACTCTCAAATAAGTTATCCACTTGCTATGAAATAAGCTAAAAGGCAGGGCATTTTTTCGTTGTAGACTCTGAATGCTGAAAACAAGATTAATAGTTTTTCTTTCAGGAGGATAGGAAAAGAAGGTAAAAATAGCAGTCATCACAGAAATATATTTTAACTTTAACAAAATAAAGAGTGATAATCAAAAGTTTAGTTAACTTTTGTAGTTAAGTGTAGTTTACTACTTAGAAGCCAGTATTCAACCCTTACGTTTATTTAAACCTTCCCCCATGTTAGAGGGAGTTCTGCTGTGGTTTGAGGATAGCATAGAGTCCCAAATATACACCCCAGCCCACAAGCCCTCACTAAAAGTAGAATTCAGCCCTCTCCACAGAATGAGTTTGACATCCCTTTTTTAATTAGGCAGATTATGCAGTGATCCCCAACTGGCAAATTCAGTACTTTAGTATGCACTCTACTACTGTTAGAAATTTTTTTTTACCCAACCTCACCCTCAAATTAATAGAACACCTAGAAAACAAGTCATATTTTATTGTTTATAAACATAAGAAATTCCATTGTAGGGCTCACAGGATGTATTCTGCCTCTCCACTGGTGTAAACAGCAGACTTTCAAAGAGGAAAAAGAGCGAGCCTGATTCTAGGTTACAGTACAACCCCTTACCATTACACCACTCTGACCACATAAAGGGACTTCAAATGGGTAAAACATGGCTGCCTGAGATCCCCCTTGTTCAGGAGGCCTTTGCAGCCATCATAGAACTGACCTAATAGTTCTACTCGAACCATGTTCTCAGCCCCTACGGATGGGGGACATGTCAGGGATACAAAGGAGGGTACAGCTGGAGCACACTACAGTACAGCTATTTCAAAAGGGGCCTTAAGAAGTAGAGCATGAAAGTTAAAATAGCTCTACAGCAGGCCCCCTCAATGGCCTCAGAATAGAGGGAGTCAGGAATGCACCAGGAAAGCCACCTTTCCTCCCCCTCCATTTCTGCCCCAAGTCAAGGAACAGAGTAACTGAGGTTAGACCCAAAAGCTCTAATTTCTCTCTTTTTGAGGAGTATAGAAATCCCCCCTTTTTCTAAGGCCCAATAAGAATACACTATTTCTTCCTTAATGGAACCAGGACTCTTCCCTACCAGACTGACCACTCCTTTTGTGTTTTGTATTCCTTTCAAACAAACTTTCAATTTTATTTTTTTAAGAAAGATTTTTCTTTGGGAATGGGAATATCCTTATTTTTCAATTCACACCAAGTTGATATATAAGGTGAGCCCTACTCTGATAGATCTTGTGAAGCCAGCCAAAGTTCAACTGCCAGTCTAGCAGTCCCACTGACTTTCGGCACGTTCATAGGTGTTTGTAGGCTCAGGGCCTTTATCAAAAAGTTCATAGGAGGTGTGTGTGTGTGTGTTGGAAGGAGGTGAGGGATTTTGTGACAGTTTATGTTGAAAGGAGGCAGGTATTGGCCTTTTCTTCACAGGGAAAAAATAATGCAATTAATATTTTATATAGACATTTTTTAATCTGGGAAGGGTTCTTGTCTGGGTGAGGCAGTCCACTTTCCAAGCATAGGAATGGAAATATTTGTCCTTTCCATAGAGGACAAATATCTGAGCAGCACTAATGGGAAAATGTCAAGCCCTGCTGTAGGTCATAACACCACAATACTACAAGTGAAGCAGCGAGGAGAAGAGGCCCAACTGGGAGAGAGGCTGAGGTGGCTACTGCTAATAACAAGAAGATTTCATGGAGCTAGGAAGAAAACTGGCATTTTCATGAGAGAATTGATGAAGTGGGTGAAGAGAACTGATAAATGTGTTGGGGGAAACGAACAAATATGTCATGGGTGAATGGTAAATTAATAAACTGATTAACAGCAGGTAAGAGAATGAGACGTAGATAAGACATACGGCACCATCTGTTTTCTTACTCTTGTTTAACTAAAGGTGTGATTTTAAATGGATTTAATTAAACTGGTGCTCTTGTGGACACTCTTATTTAAGTTTAAACCAGACTTGTTTCAGTATAGTTAAATCAATTAGGCTTGGTTTAACCACAGTTTTTCTACTGATTTATTTTTATACTGAATTATTTCACTTAGGGGCATGATTTCATATCAGTGTATTTAAATCAGTACAATACAGTGTGTGCATACAGTAATACCATTATTAAGCTGCTTATACTGATATAACTTAACATGTAGAATAAGCTATACTACTAAAAGCATGTTTATATCAGTATAACTGCAGCCAAACTAGTTTGTACCACTAACTACATCTTCATCTAAACCAATATAGTTAAAGCAGTACAAAAACAGTGTGTAGACAACCCCTTAGAAATTGGGTTAAACTGAACCAAAATAAGCCATTCTTAAAGAAGTGTCTATACAGAGGGTTGCAAATCACAATTTATGCTATAAATTTTTAGAGCTTAAAAAAGGAACGAGTTTTAATTAAAGGTTTAAAGTATATGTGTGAGTGGGTAATCTGTAAAACATTAACTTAGATTTTCTGCCTCCATTTAACTGATCCACTTTATCCTTTTTATGACAATATAATATATACATGTAAGCTACATCTTATTGTACTAAATGTGGGCCCAAACCTAGAAACATTTATGCACATTCTTAATTTTAGTCACACAAGAGTCACATTGATGTCAAAGTGCTTATTCACATAGGTAAAGTTAAGCACATGCATAAGTGTTTACAGAATTGGTCCTTAGGTCTGCACTTCATAAAATTAGCCAGACATCTAAAACAGACTTGTAATGAACCACATATGATTTGTGTATATGTTGAACTTGTTTTATGTAATAGTTATTCCTGTCACTGTAAACTTTATTTTCAAATACATTTCAAAGTTTATAAACATGGAAAAATACTTTAAAATGTTCATGCTGTTGAACAAACTGGTTGGTGTTTTCTTTTATCTTGCATAATGAAAGGTTTCAGAGTAGCAGCCGTGTTAGTCTGTATCCGCAAAAAGAAGAACAGGAGGACTTGTGGCACCTTAGAGACTAACAAATTTATTAGAGCATAAGCTTTCGTGGACTATGTGGGCTATATTCCCCTAAACCTTATGCTCTAATAAATTTGTTAGTCTCTAAGGTGCCACAAGTCCTCCTGTTCTTCTTTTATCTTGTTCAGGTTAACACATCATATGTGAGAGAACCAAGGCCCTAATCCTGGAATGAGAATAGGGTGACCAGATGTCCCGATTTTATAGGGACAGTCCTGGTTTTGGGGTCTTTTTCTTACATAGGCTCCTATTACCCCCACCCACTGTCCCAATTTTTCATACTTGCTGTCTGGTTACCCTAAATTAGAACCACTTAGCCCCACCCAGGTGCCCAAGCAGAATTCTAGCATGAATATTGACTGCAGGCCTGGGGCCTAAATGGCGATTGCTTATTAAGATGTGTGTGTGAGAGAGTGGCATTTCATGGCCGGTGGCTTGTTTCTCAGCAAAGCCAAAGTATTTCACATGCTGTTGTTTTTTTTCCCATGGGCTAAAAGCCAACGCGTGACACGCCTCCAGCGTGGTGGACAAACACGCTCAGGAGTGATGCAAGTGAAATGAAATGGCAAATGATGTCATTCAAGGCCACTCAAACAAAGTGCGATGCAGCGTGTGCAGTAGGACACATGCGATGTGCGCACAGAAAGGTGTATTTACAGTCTAATGCATGGCGGACTCCACACTTTATAAGCACAATCCGTTCATTACACCTCTCCATGAAACCTTTCCTCTCTAGCCCACTTTCCTCTCTGCAGCCCCTCTTCTCTCCCAACCCGAGCTTCTCCCTCCCCCCGCACCTGTGAGGCCGCGGCTATCGCGAGATCGCTCTGTTCCCGGCATCCATTTCGCGGCCTGGGACGGAGAGGGGGCGGCTCTGA